ATGCCCGGTCTTCTCCCTCAGATGTTGTGTCTTCTTCCACCCCCTACTCGGTAGATGCTATCTATCATTCCATCTCATTATTTCAAATGCCACCTATACTTTGGTGGCCCCAAAATTTGCATCTATATCTTCAACTTCTCCAGCTTCCCTCTCAGTCTCTTCCTCTGGGTGGCTACTGGGCATCTAAACATGCCAGCTCCAGGTAGGCCTCCTTTTCTTGCACATCTATCCAAAGGCTCCTTTTCTCTAGACTTCTCCATCTCTGTCAGTGGCCACTCAGGCCGGACTCCAGTCATCCTTGATCTCCGCCTTCTTCTCATACCCAGAGTAGTGTAGCCAGCTGGTCTTTCACCCTGAGAAAGCATTCAGAACTCTATCATTCCACCATCTGCTGCTTCTGTTCTGGTCATGGCTGCCAGGCCTTCGGTCTGAACGGCAGCACCAGCCCAACTCTTCCATCCTTGCAAAACAGCAGCCAGAGTGACCCTGTCAAAAAGGTAAGCTAGGTCACATCATGACGTCACTCATACCTTCGTGTGGAATCCCATTTCACTCCAGGTGAAAGCCAAAAGTCAATATAAAGGACCCACAAGTACTAAAATTTGGAACCTCATTTTCTCGCCAGACTCATTCCTTTCTATCCCACACTCGCTCTCCTCCAGCTTCTAGTGTACCCTGTGCTAACTGCCTGAGGGCGTTCTATTTGTATACCCCCTGCCGAGAAGATTGTCTGGTTTGGTTTTCAGATATCTGCATCCCTACATTCCCTGGTTCCCTTCAGGTTTCTGCCTTCTCAGAGAAGGTTTTCTTACATAACCTACCTTCTATACAAATGACATTTCTCCCTTTTCTCCTACCCAGCCTCATATGTGCTCACTGCACATGGTCATCTGTGTACGGCCCACTTCCCCCACCACCATGTGCATCCCTCTAAGGCAAAGACCCTGTCACATGTGTTTAGTGCTCTAAGCCAGTGTCCGAAGAACAAGTAATTTGTTGAAGGAACTCTTCAAGAATGAACAATTCATATTAAGACAACTCAAAGTTTAGCCAGACTGTATATCATTGTCATAATCCTCACCAAGTATATGAATTTCATTCCAGGATATAGTATGGCCCAAGCAAATTAAATAACACTACTAAAATAATCTCAGCAATTACAAACCTCCAATTAGTTTATGCATTGATGGAGATCTTTTTAGCCACTAACAGTGGCATCAAGTCACTAGGCCCATTCGCTATTTTACAAGAGCACAAGGATCAATAGGCTTCTCAATGAATCGCTCATGTCATTATATCCTGGCCATAATACTGTTTGCGTTGAAAAATAAATCTGTCTAATATGTACAGACACAAAAATATTTAATTTTCAATGATCATCAGAGATCTATTTAACTTTAACCTTTACAACGGAACATGCTGAACATGAAATAAAGGTGAATTACCTTTTTGGCTTGGCTCTGTTTTCTTTTAGCCAAGACTGGCCTCAAAATCACTACACAGCCAAGGGTGACTTTGAAATGCTGGTCTCCCTGGCTGAATCTCCTGAGTGCCAAACACTATAAAAACAGGTATTGTTATTGCTACCATATCCTCCTTAAGCCATTATGAATGAAAGCAAAATCTACGTTGGTATTTCATAAGCATTTGTTTCTTAATTGAAGATCATCATCTTGTCAAGATGGTGAGACCAAAAAGGCGCCATGCCGTGGTGGATGGCCAGGACAATACAAGCAGGAGAGGTGGGATCCCATCTAGGTTTCCATTTTAAGAAGTAAGCTCATGAATACTGCAAGATTCAAGCCTATAACTGAACAATCATTATTTGCAGTGTTAGTTGCATTTTAATGCAAACAAGACAGAAGGCTGACAGGAGGGAAACGAGATGACATCCTTCTCATTAGAATAAACACCCTTGTTTAAAAAGGCTACATTTTATAGCCTCTTTGCGGAAAGTGCTCCCTCTCTCTCTCTCTCTCTCTCTCTCTCTCTCTCTCTCTCTGTGTGTGTGTGTGTGTGTGTGTGTGTGTGCAAGCAAAACAACAAATAAAGTGTCCTTTGTTGGCATTTGTCAAAACATTTTCAGCATACCCCAAAACTCCTAAGTATGATCTTCTAGATATTTCCGACACATGACAGATCCTGTGTCATAAGGAAATAGTGTATTTCAAATTAATATCTTCAACAAAACAGAAAGTCAGGTATAGAAGGGAAAACTCTTGGAAGAAGCCAGAACTCACAAGTACTAGGAATAGCATCTCTAACTTCAGAAAAGCAAGATCTGCTGGAAAGCAGGCCATTATTAGCAAAGCACATTTTGGAGCTGGATATGTAAACAAAAGAAAATTGCGGTTCTATAAAAGGCAGTTTATGCAACTTACGAGAGGAAGTCAAGCAAACCCTTCCTGGAGAGATGACAACGAGGTGGGGACCTGGAGGGAGTCAGGAAATATGGAAGTGTGGATTCTTGGGAAGAAGAATCAGGAATGTCTTCATCTAGGCGACACCAAATACTCTAGGCTATCAGTTTCTTTATACATTATGATGGCAGTTGATAGAGTAAGAACCTCACAACAAGGAACAACCAGGGCCTTTCCCAAAAATGTTGCATGAAGCAGAAATACTTACAGATGTTAGCACACAGGCATTTTTAGATATTTGCGATTTGGAATTTTAATTGTATCCTAATACCCATATTAATATGATAACTGCAGATATAATGCTTTAGGTAATTTTGCTAATACTGAATGTTTACTCAATATACAGTAGGGCTGATTATTGTAGGTATGTTAAATATGTCACCTTGTTTTTAAAAAGCACCTACTAAGTCTCATGTAACAACATAATGACAGCCTGCATTATGCAAATGCAGACACCTTGCTCTCAGCTCTCAACGTCTCTGCAATGGGGCCAAGAATCAAGAAACGGACACCCCACACTCAGGTACTAACCTTCTAGGATCATGTTTGAGAAGAAGTTCTCTTGATGAAGCTCATCACAAGAGAAATCACTGAATTTGGAACCAGACAGCTCAGAGGTGGACTGGCTCCAGAGCGTAAGAGAAAAACCTAACGAAGAGTCATTCCAATGCCCTGCTCACCTCACTGCAGCCTAGTGGCCTGTGGATATCAGTGCAATAACTCCATGAGGGCAATATCACTGGGGCGCCCTCAACAGACACTAGAACTCTTAAAGAATCGTGCATGTTCCATTTCATTAATGATGCTTATAACGATCCCCACTCATCAGACAGATGACATGATAGATAATCTTCACAGACGAGAAGAAAGAGGAAAGCGTTATTGGACAGGATTCCATCCACTGTAAGCAGTCAAATAAAGGTTTGAGGATCAAAGAACACCCAGCTGTCCAAAAATAAGTAGATAACAGAATTTTTAAAAGGAACAAAAAGAAGAGAGAAACTTGATTATTAAGGGCAACTTTAACGAGTAACTGCTGAAAATCCCAGAAACTGAACTTTCAGGAAATGCGCACAGCACGTGGTTCACAAGCACCGCGATCCACGCTGTTGCTGAGGCAACCACTCAAGGGGAATTGGGACTCCAGGAACTTACTCCTGCACACGCAGGACCTTATACCCAACAGTAGCTCAGACAGTAGGGAAGCAGCCACCAAATCCCTCCACAAGACGTCGGCAATTGGCACGATTCTGGAAAAGTCCATGGAACTGGCAGTTACCACTTAGGTTTGTTAGAGTAGCAAATAACTGGTCCTTCTTGTAAATACTCATGGCGCTCCCCACTTCTATGTCCCATGTTTTCCTTGGGGACTGTCTGCCTGCCAGGATGTTGAAAGCAGTCAGGGGAGGCAGGATTTGAAGTGAGAAGGGACCCTGATGAGGTACTAAAAACCAGAGCTAAGTGTGGGTGGGCCTGCTTTAAGTACGAGATTATTACATGGCATAAGGTCATTTCCTTCTGCAAGGACACAGCTTTGGTTGAGCCGCTGAAGCTCGGTATCATACAGGGCTAGGCTAGCGCGAAAATGTGTCATGAACGGGGGTTCTTTCCTTTCCCTTCTCAGTTGAAAGGGGTGTGTGTGTGTGTGTGTGTGTGTGTGTGTGTGTGTGTGTGTAAGAGAAAATGGAAGTTCTGACTTGTGTTAAACATCCTCTGAACAAAAACTTTCCGACAGGACCCAAAAAGCAGTACTGTGCTGCAGTGTGACTTTTGAGCTGACTCTGAGGACCCCACTGCCTTACAGGGCTGCATTTTCATCAGAGCCCCCAAAGAAGTAGCTCAAGCAAGGCTAGGGCCCCAGGACGTGCCCCCACACTACCTGAGCACAGGACCCAATGAAAGAAAGAGGAATCTCCAGTGAAACTTCTCACTTCCTGCCACTGGTGAGAGAGGCAGGGCTGGCTCCCCGCTTGGTTTCAGACAAGCTGTAAACACAATCATTGCAGTTTGCCAGCAAGCCGCCCGCTGGGTGGGTGTGGGGGCACTTCTGGAAGCGTCCCTGCGATCCGCTCCCTCTTTTTCCTCTGACCAGGGTCATTTCCATACAGATAACGGTACCAAACGCCCTCCACTTCCTAGAGTCCTCATGTATAGCATGGTTCCTCTTTCTAGAACGTGGGGACCAAATGCACAGAAAAAAAAAAAAACAACTCAAAGCAAAATTATTCCATCACTTCATTTCATTCCCTTTCACTGTCATTTTAGAGGTGGATTGAACTCTTTGTTAACACACAGGGCACGGGGAGAGGGAGAAAGGTGAACCGCGCTCTAAGATAACTTATTTCTTCCCGCCTCCCAGAAAACAATTAGGATTCCACAAACCGTCTCCGGACGCAAGGTTTTAATGTTTAGCTGACAAGCTAAACCATTTCAAGGCCAGGTAGAAAAAGCCCCTAAGCTGAGAACCGAGAGGCAGGGCAAGCTGAGCGCACCTAGATGTTTGCATTTACACAAAGAAATTATCCTTATGATTAATGGGAGCCTCTGGCAGACGGCGGGGTCGCAGGGTGGCCTCCATACCTGGGACATCTGCGGCCTCAGGTTGATTTCTTTTAGGTTGATGGAGTGTGCCCGTAGGTTGTTGAGCAGCTGGCAGAGCAGGACTCCATCGCGGAGGGTCTGCGCCAGGTCGAACACCTGCGCCGAGTCCCAGGTCACCCGGTGGTTAGCCGGCAGCACTTTGCAGTGGATGAGCCACTGAGCGCACTGCTTCCAAGGCTCCATGCCCGACGGCTCCGGGACCCGGCCCCGCCGGGGCGGGCGGCGACTCGAAGGTGGCCGCCGCCGATCTTCC